ATGATACTTTTCATCGAATATTATTTAATTTACGATTTATTTCGATCGAAACTCACATGGAGTCCCGCGCCATTTTCGTCGACGATGAATATGATCGTGTTTCATAAAGAGATAAGGGGTTTCAATGGTCTTTCAAAGCAAAAACTTGATTCAAATATTGGTAGGAAATAATATAAAGCTGGTTCAAATGGCCATCAATCATTTAAAACACCGAAAATACTCACAACTCCGTCCCCACGACCACGCAGCACCGCGCACACCAAACTACTGGCACAATGCCAAAACTGCTGTCACAGGAGAAATGTTTTTTTTTTCTCGATTGCAATTGTGGAATTATTTATTAAACAGAAGACGATCTTTCCGAAAAACCGACTGATTTCATACACAGATGCATGGAAAATAAAAAAAAAATCCCGGTAAGTTTATTTGTATTGTTTTGTCGATTTTGACATGCTCCTAGTTTGCAGCCATATTTCGATATGTTCTACAGGGAGTTCAGAATTATTTCAGGGCCAATTTTTTCCTCGTTCATTTTCCCGTCGATCATGAAATTTTTAGAGCGGAACAATTAGTTTCCAGGCGGTCCGAGCGGTTTTTGTGAGAAGGGTGCAAAAATCGGCGTCATTTTTAGAGCCTCGACACCAGCTCAACACAGGACCCTATGGGAGACGGTGAAGTAGCGGAAGCAATAAATAGAGCGCTCTAATTTTAGCTTATTTCCCTGGTGTGTCACCGACTGACATGGGGTTTGAGTTGAGATAGCCAAGTTTGCGGCGAGGTTCAGAAACCACTATCTATCTAGGTTGCAACCCCCGCAGCCTCTTGGTGTTGAAGAAATTTGTTCCCTTCATTTGAAAATGGGCCTTGCCCCAGGCCCTATCTTCAACATGGAGCGACCGTTAGTGTGACGTCACCTCGTTTAGTCATTCTGATTTAAATGGGTTTGTTCGTTGAAAAATCGCTTAAAACTTGGTCTGAACTTAGTTGTGGTGCCTACACAGTAAAAAGAATCAGCTTTATGACAGTAATGTTGCCTGGGGAAGGAGGGAATTTTGGGCTGTGACGTCACATATCATCAAATCTATAGTCGGCCACAATTTAACTGGTTTTAACAACATTTTAGAAGGTGGGATAGTTCCTTTAAGCTAAATTTGCACACATTTGAACTTAAGCGTTTCTATTTTTGGAACATCAGCGTTTCCATTTTTGGAAACTAAGTCTCCATAAATGGATACGATTCAGGAGCATTTTTAAGTGGTGAATTTGAATGCATCAGCTTTCCATGCAAGAAGACAAGTGCTTTTGGTGTATCCGTGCTTGTTTTACGCAAAACAGTGGTTATACCTACACCAAATCCAGCCACCCTTGGCAAGAAAATTTGTGCGGAAATGTTAGCGTTTCTATTTATGGAACAAGCGTTTCCATTTTTGGAACAGAAGAGTAGTCAAAATTGGAAATGTTTCCAATAATAGAAATGTCTCCATAAATGAATTGGAGATACCACAGTGCGCCGGACTGTTATCAGCATTAATTGAGCTATTATGGGTGGCATATGTCGATATCACATAAGATACCAAAATGCAAATTACTCTGTAAGGAAGTATCCATAGCTCCATAGCAACCACCTAGCAACGTGAATCAAAGCTGTAAACAACTCGCGTTTGTCTCAGATGCGCATTTTTCGGAGCATATAACCAGAATCTGTTATTCTCGGCGTCATAATGAATGTTGCAAAACAGAGTGACCATTTGACTATCAATAAGGACGATTTTTGCGAAATTCATGTTTCTTGCCTAACTACATTTCGAAAAAGTTAACAGACGCTAAACAAGTTAGTCGAGCCGACGAAGATGGTCGAGCGTGGCAGGGCAGCGTCAAACTCACCGTGTCTGTTCTTCCCGAGTCTTCAAAGTCTTCTAGCGAAACCAAGCACAGAAAACTCACAAGTTTCAATGAAATTAGACAGCAACAATGTCTAACGAAACTTTAAAATAATATCTTTTCACTTCTCTCACAATTGACACCTCAATCAGCAGCCGGATCCGTCAAGGGTCCCGACAAGATTCCTATAGATTCCTAAAGATAAGGTTGGGCCAGGCAGTCACGTGACAGTTTCTGCTTGGTGTTTGAGTTGCGCCATCGTGGTTTATTGATATCTTTAAACAATTTTAAGACAAAATGTAGCTGAATATGTTAACATATATTTTAAAAAAAAATATTTAATAAACAGAAATAAGTAAAAAACAAAAGTTTTGGCCTAAGCGTAAAACTATTATTTATGTAATACTCTTGACATTGCTTTATTGAAGATTCAGGCTAGAAAATTTTTCATACTCATTATAGGTATAATACAATTTATACAATACTCATTTCTATGCGAAGATTTCTCTAGCGTATCGCAAATAAAATGGGCATAGGTATAAATACGCATAAAAAAATAAGTTAACATAAACTTGGGTATAACCACGGATCACATACTGCCCGGGCCTATAAGTTGTCACATAAGGTGATCCGTGGTATAACTAATGGTCAGAAGAGGGCAAGCAGCGCGCTTGGGATGAGGCGTTCTCTAAGACGTCTCAGCAGCGTCTGCTGGATGGGGCAAACCAGGTGGTCCGGGTGTGTCTTCTTGCTGCTGCAGAGCCCCACACCGCCGCCTGGGTGCAAGCCCTCCCAGTCACCAGTCTGAGACTCCACCTGGAGGACGAAACCGTCCGGGTAGCAGTGGCGCTGCGACTCGGGGCACCGGTATGTGAACCGCACAACTGCCAGCTCTGCCGTCGTCCTGCTGATCGACTGGGCTACCACGGTCTCTCCTGTGCCAAGAGTGCTGGCCGCCACGCACGTCACGCCAACCTTAACCCTCGCCCGCACATGCCATTTTCCCATCCTAGAACGCACATGCGGGGGTGGTTGCCACCCCCCCCCCCCCGCGCCATTTCGTTCCTGTTGGAGATAGAGCTTAGCGGTAAAGACAAAAAAGATTCTTTGGGAAGAGACAAATCCAATGATACCCAGTTTTACCTTCTCAGGTCAGTCATTGACCTTCCAGGTCAGGTCAAACTAAAAAATGTTGCTGTTTTGGGTCACCGTTGGATATCAAGTGCGCTGCTTATCAAATACCGATGACGATGCTGTTTTCTGGTGCCAAGCCAGCTAGAACCTCTTTGTCACACTACCCGACCAGAATTTTGCTGCTGAGGTCAGGCGCGGATACAAGGGGGGGGCCATGGGGGCCATGGCCCCCCCCCCCTTGGCCGATTTTTTTCAAAAATAGAATAAAAAGTTAAAAAGCTGAAAAGGGGGCCTCCTGAAAATGAAGTGGCTATTCATGTTGAGATGTTGCCTGAACAGCTAGATAAGCTCAATAGACGCAGTTTTTTTTTGGGGGGGGGCCCAACAAGTGGGAAGATGGGGCCTCCAACAGGTGGGATTATGGGGGCCTCCTGGTTTCTAATGGCCCCTCCCTTGGAGATTTTCTGGATCCGCCCCTGGCTGAGGTCATTTCAGGTCAAGTTAGGTCAAGGTCAATTATGTGTTTGTATGTCTGTGTGTGTCTGTGTGTATACTGAATACTGATGTGTGCACCGATTGTTTTTGGGTCCATATTACATGAAATCATGATCTGAGAAGCTTTTACCAAAAATGCAATCAAAAAACTTCACAAAAAGTAAATTCGGCTTGCCTAAAAAGCAATTATCTTAGATGACCTAGGTTGACCTTGACCCTGACCTTGACCCCTGTACATCGTCGAACAACATGTTCCATGATAGGTGGGAGGTAAGACTGGCAAAAAAGGCCGAAATCAGGGTGTCAAAAGCTCACAAGGCCCATGGCAAACGCAAGATGTTGAGAATTGGCCATTTGGGTCATGACATGACCTCAAAAACAAGGTCATATCTCCGAAACCAAAAATCACAAACTTGAAATTTTCAGTGGACATCAAGAAAGGATAGAGGAGCAGCTATACGAAAAATCGGCCTTCTAGCTCTAAAAATGTTGAGTGCAGAGCAGAAAGACTACCTGGGGGGATGGGTGGCAACCACCCCCCCCCCCCCCATGTGCGGGCGAGAGCAGCACAGGGCTCGAGAGTGTTTTAGAGCCCACCGGCCTTGACAGAGGTGACGGCCGACGTCCCGATGGGATAACGCTCTTCCCTTTCAGCCGAGGAATGAGCCTGATATGGGACGCCACCTGCTGCGACACCGCTTCTCTGCAACTGCTGTCATCAGCTCTGCCTTGAGCCCTGGTAGCGCCGCTCGCTTTGCGGAAGAACGCAAGCGCGTCCGATATGCCGCTCTCCGTAAGAAATACGTTTTCGTACCTTTCGCGGTTGAGACACCTGGTGTCCTGGGTCCAGCGGCCACACAGGGGGGGGGGGGGGTCGGATGCGACCCCCCCCCCAGGCTGTCGTGGGTACGGAAATAGCCCAGGCGGTGCCGGGTTAAACTAATAGTATTACCGCAGGGAACACGACGCATTTATAGCCGATACATTTGCTTTTTTTCTTAAATAAGATTGAAACATTGCGAGTACTGGCTTTTCGCCTAGCAGTTGGGCGTGAGGTGAGTGACGATAAAAATTATTTCGCTCTCCCTTGCTCCTGCACCTGCGGAAAGTGGATGGATGGGCATTGGATACTTACTGGAAGGGTGTAATAAGGGCAATACACCACTTCATGCTCCGATAATTGCATTACGTCTATGACGGTGTAAAGTAAAGAATAAAGATGTGTGAAGAAATAGACATCTGACAATTGGCTGACTTCCCTGCCTCCCGGCCGCTACTCAGGTCCACCACTCGCCGTTGTCAGTGCACGGTTTTTCTAGCAAGCTCCAGCCTAGTATTGATCTTATTCAGTATTTACGGTACGAAGATTTGATAACGGAATGTGACGTTTCCACATCATGCTTGATGGTTGAAGTTTGCACCGTTAACAACTACCAAGTCAAGTCGCAGCCCCAGTCATCTGGCACGTCTCTGTCATCGAATAAAGCCAATGAACAAGAAAGTTATTATTTTCCAGCATAAATGAAAATATATAACACTGCTACAGGCGGTACGCGGATGTCATGCACATTACACACAACGATTCAATCGAATAAAAACTGGATTAACCATAAATCAGCACTGGATTAACCATAAATAATAACAGTACAGCACCAAACACTTGAGATGCACATTATAGTACTTTAGAATGCACAGAGGAGTAATGAGACTAAAAGTTTTAACACGCCCTATCTTAAAAAAATATTGAACGAGATATTTCCACAGTGCAAAAACAAAACCGAAATCCGACAAAAAACCGATTCCAGGTTCAATGTCCACAGATTTAAAAACAAAACTTTCAAGTGCCCCCATGGTAAAAAAAAAATGACCAAAGACGGAATTGTAACAAAGAATAAATAAAGATATGTGCGGCAAACGAAGGGCGGCACTGGACGAGCGTCTGCACAAAGTAGGCGCACAGAGTTACTCCTTAGCCCAGCGGGCAGCAGCAAATGAATTACAACCAAAGGAAGAATATGCATTAGTCTATTAAGGCTCATCGCACCATGACGAGGCACAGCTAGGATAACGCGATTCGCCTGCGTCCTCCAGGCGAGAAGCACCTCGAGTAGGCTGCCGTGTCTTGACCAACTGCCGCATCCGTCGTCCGCGCCGCAGGCCTCCCAGTAGTGCCTCGGAGTAGTGCCTCCATCGCATCGGCCGTCGACCGGCGTGGGGCCCGGATGTGACTAGTGCAGCTCCGTGGGGTGCCCTGCCGCGCTCTGCCGAGTGTGCAGAGAGCAGGTAGACTGGTGGCGGTGAAGAAAACAAGCAGTTATCTTCTTTCGGGATCTGTAAAGAAGCATTCTACTAAAAACTACATCCAAAACGTTTTCCATATTTTTTTTTTACAGAACACAATGCAGTAGCCAAAATAGATATGAAGTATGTGAAGACAACAGTCTACTGCCATTAGATAACTGATCCTGATGGACAAATACATTAGATACTAGTAAATCATAAGGTGGTTCAAAGGCACACTTTGCAGCTCCAGTAAAAAATCACTGTTTTTCATACTTCATACTGTAAGGGGAAAGGGTGGGGTGGGGATGCAGCCAAGAGTGCATCATATGGGGTTGTAGTGGTCGGACCATCTGGAGCAATAGCCTGTTTTTGCCGTTTTTAATGTTAACCCTATGGCGCACATGAGCACGCGCCACGGGCGCACCCCCGGCCGAATCGTGCCCAAAAGCTAATACGACCTGTTGAATTACATGACCCACGAGTCGTGAAAATTTCACCCTCGTGCGTCAATCGACGGCGCCGCAATATCCGTTTTGGGGCATCACGCCGCCTATAAGCCTCGCAAAAGCGTCCGCACGGCCGGCCGGCCGGCCGGCCGGCCGCTCATACTCAGAAATTTCCGTTAATCTAAGGAAAGACTTCGCTCGCTTCGCTCGCTCCGTAACAAAAGTGACACCTCTCCGTTTTACACGTGTCACGTGCAGTGGAGGTCACCCGCAAGCATTGTCCATAGTAAATACTTGTAAGAAGAGTATACGCTACCCCACACAAAAAACCGCAAGTGTAACAGTGTCCGTCCCCCTCCCCGGCGCCGTTTTCCTCCAGGGGAGGCGCCCCAGCCGCCGTACTGGGGCGTAGCGGAGTCCGTGCTTTTAGCACAGCAAAATATCCACCCAGGCTAGATTAACGTCACGACAACCTAGGATTAAGAGTGGCTAGACTTCAGACTTCATGCAGACTTAACATTGAAGTATTATATATGCAACTAAATGACACACATGGTGTTTGTTCTAACCTTCTCAACAGAAAGTGAACGTGTCAGGACAGCACCCCTTGGTGACCATTATATTCAAGGGGTGCAGGAACTGATTCCCCAGGGGTGAAGCGATAGAAGCAAAAACATGAGTCACTAGTTCCCTCCTGTGTCTTCCCTCCTGCAGAAAAAAAAATACATGTGTGATGCCCAATGTGACTGATAACTGCATATTATAAAGCTGGAAATATTGTACAAAGTTGTGACAACACAAGCAAACTATGCATGTCACTGCTCTTGTATAACTTTTCTATTTTTATTGCTATATGAGACCTCACAAGACACAAAAATATGCATGGTTAGAAAGTGGGTAACAATACATTTCAAATGAACTAAGCAGATTATTTCTAAGCTCCTTTAAGTCCCAATTTCTGCTATATTTCGCTTGTTGTCACTTCATATTTTGAACTCAAGGTGCCTTGTGGATTTACCTCAGGTATGTAGGTAAATCCACAAGGATTTATGGGCTTTACCACAGTTGAGTAGCTGCTCCCTCAATTTAAGTTTCTCGTTAAATTTCATTGAGGCGTTGCAAGATGGGCTGAAGCCGAATCCTCTTCCCTGTTTAGCTGATGCTCATAATACCTGAACATTTTTAATTCCAATTTTTATAGCTGTTAACAATTGGTAAAGGCCCATGTACCTAGACAACAATGACTTTACAGAAGAAACCCCTGGCTGTGTTTCATGGGCGCGCTGCCAGCCGCTGCCAGCGCATTCCGCGTGAGCTAGCGTCAACCTCCGGTAGTGTTGGAGGTATAGGCTTGTTGATGTCTCTATGGAAGCCAAAAGCGGCTGGCAGAGTGCTGTGATATGCTGTGATACACCACCCTTATTTTTGCACAATAATGCTGTGATAACTGTTCCTGCAAAAAATATAAGGTGAAGTGAAGTAAAATCAGGTCAAACATTAATATATACCCGAAAATAGCAGTGTTTGGAGTACCTATATTCACATTACCAATAATATAAAATCAGGTCAAACATTAATATATACCAGAAAATAGCAGTGTTTGCCGTTTGGAGTACCTATATTCACATTACCAATAATATGATACACAACAGGCCATAGAAAACCAGTGAATCAGAATGTTGAATTGTACCCCAATTTCAATATCAATATGGCACTTGGCAATAACAGTTAAACACACCGTTTTTGATGTTAAATCAACAGAGAAAACTCCTGAACATAAAAAATGATCAGAATGTATAATAAGGATAACAGTATAAATAAAAATCGACGACATCAGCACCTATCATCGCCGTTCCACATTCACCACTCCCCATTCCACGCACAGATTGTTTACTCCTTGGTTTACCCCGTGTTCGCAGTCTCCCTGACGACGGAGATTCTTTACGCCCACCGACCAATCACGTTCAAGATCAGCGGGGCTTGGCCGCAGTTCTCGAACGCTATTTGCCAGATTAAGCAGGACCTTCGTCGTCAGTAAACTGTGAACACGGCGTTACATATTTCGCTATGGTAACAAAAGCGCCAGAATTGACTACCAGAATTGGATCCGAAGGTCAAATGGGTCACGTGACTGACAAGTTCAGATGGACAACACCAGGAAAACGGAACAACGTGCAATAACGTTCTATATATCATTGGAAAGAGCATCAAAAGTTGTATAAAATATCAACTTTTGACTTAAACATATCTTAAACGTAAAAAGTTATTAAGCATCAAAGACGCTCCCATTGACTTTCAAAGTTAAAATTTTTCATTTTTAAACGAGCTTCAAAAGAGCAAACGAATTCTGACAGCTTAACGAAGCATAACACCATGTTCTATGGTCTTTTCTCAACAAGTCCTGAAAGTTTAAACAAAATCGTATCATATAATTTTGTACAATGAGCGAATGAAAAAGTCTCTGCAAAAACGCCCATTGACTTAACATGGGGAGCGAAAAAAATTCAACTTTGACCTCGTGCAAAGACACGTTACGAAGTTCTGAGGGGTATACGGCGCACACCAGCGTGTACCCAAACGTGTTTGCCATAAAATGCTGGGAAGAAAACCACCTCTTCCTTGGCTCGTTTTTCCGCTATTCCCGATCGCGCAAAAAGTGTCCAAAACCCCGTTGACTTAACATGGGGAAAATGGAATCGCACGTGCCACGTGCCACGAGGTTTTAAGCGAGTAGCGACCGGTGCCAACAGGTAGATCGCCTGCGGGAGCCCATACACTGAAATTTTTAAGAAAATCGAGCCACAAGTTTAGGCCTGACCCAAGTTGCCCCAATTCGCGGCCAGACATGCAAAACATAGCCCGGAGAAGGACCGCTCCGGTTGTTTTTCAATAGAAAAACACAATTCTAACGAATAGTGTTTGTCTTTTCAAACAACCTGCGGTTACGCGACGGACTGGTCCGCAGCCGCCCGGCCGGCGCTGAACGCCTGGGAGGGTAGACTGTGCCGCCCAGCACCAACCGCCTGGCCTGTCCACTGCGCCGCAATACTCGGCGAGACAGCCGCTAAAACTGGAGACGCTTTCGTCTGTTTTGGGCGGCTATTCTAGCCGCCAGCCGGTAAGAAATAGCAAAGCCAGAGTGACAATTTGTTGGGATAAAGGTGTTCATAAATGGATACGGCGGAGATATGGAAGACTTTCGAGTTGAAACAGTCATATTCAACGTTTGGGCGCACACGGCTCACTTCGGAATAATAAATAAAAAGGATATGAGAAGGATCTTGATCCCAGCCGATCCCTTCTGTCGTTCTGGGACGTACCTTTTTGCAGGACTTCGAGGCAGACGTCGCACACGCGGGCGGGGGAGTTGCCCTGGTAGAGGAGCGGCGCTTTACCCATCGAGCACGGGCCGCAGACCACCTGTGGGAACGGACCGGGTCAGTCGCGGACCAAACGACGGACGGGCGAGACGAGGTGGTCGGTGGACGGAAATAGGTACACGTTGAAGGGAGCATACAAATGTGCTCAGAGGCCGATCTGTAAAAGTAGTGATAGTTATCACAAGGACTGTAAAGTCAAAAGCGTATGAAAAAGGTTACATGGGCTCGTCCTATAGTTCACTGAACAAATATTATACTTCATTCGAACAGCAAGCATACAAAGTTCCCCTTAGCAATACGTGACAGCAAAAAATGCAAAAACTTACAGAAAAAAACATCACACGTCACAGATCCATGACACCCTGTAGCCCGACCGTAGCTCGAGACGTGCTCCTGATCCTGAGACTGGCGGCACGTGAGCAGACGAGTCACGTGAGCGACCTTCCCACACCACTGACCACACACGGTCACGGGCGCCGACCCGGGGTTCGATGGGTGCGCTAAATGATGCAGCTCTGCGGTCGGGTCATGGGTACAGCTGTACCGCGCGGCCATTTCCATTGATTAGACAGGATGACCACTACGGTGCGCCTCTTTTGGCCAACTACTTGCTTTCTAATTTTGATAGTGCCAAACTGCGCACAGTGTACACCTCTTCTATTCCTGTCATGGAGCTCTGTAGACTGTAGACTGTAATACTTGCCATTAACCAAATGTGATCGCACATTTCTTGCATGATGCGTAACAGCCGCTGCTTGGGAAGTATCCCTATGCGTAATGTGACAATTACCCCAGATCCATATTCAAGAGCCAACTTGTACAGCGTACACTGCCAACACAATTTGTAAAAATCACATGTAATAACTGCGCTTGTATTGCGCATTTACCTTGCACAACTCGTACATGTGTGGTAAATATTCAAACTACCCATGCCTGCCGAACAACGAGGAATCGCTTGGCTGGCGATATTGAACATATGAAAAAGGACTCTGTCCTTCGGCACGCAATCAGCGCCTTTAATCAGGGCAGAGTACTCGGATGGCAGGCGCAGTGGTACTTTGACGTATGAAACGTCGCCATGTCCGCCGCACGCTACCGTTCGCAGCCAGCAGAGGAATGTGCCGCGCGTAATACCGCTGAACATGGCGGCATGACACACATTCCAGCCGAAATTTGATGACATCTACTCTACGTGCTATTGTTAAAGCGTAGAATAAGGGCACTTGCAGCTCATTTGGAAGTTTTAATTGCAGCCTGTCACAATCGGAGACCACAAATCCAGCATTCATGATGCGCTATCACCCGGGGAACCAATGTTTCAAACCTCCCATCGTTCTGCGCACATACCAGGCCGGCAGTAGTGCCGAATGGTGACTATCCCACCTACCTTTACTGCATTGGCGCGGCAGCCGGTTGGTGCCTGATTCAGCCCCACCTACCTTCCCACAGGCGCGACAGTGGTGTCGCTGGCTGGTGCCTGATTCAGCACCACTTACCTTCCCACAGGCGCGGCAGTGGTGTCGCCGGTTGGTGACGGTGAACTCTATGGTGCACAGCTGGCACATGCTCGCTCGGTCATCGGGCACCCACACAGGAGCCTGGTACGGACAGACACACAGGCACACGGGAGGTTAGTGGGGGCTGACGGTCAAACGAACACTACAGGGTGGGGTGAGGGACACACAGGGGGCGACCGGTTTCTCCGGCTGTAGGGTGCGGTTGGTAAAATACACTGTTGTGTGCAGCCTAAGACATCAGGCACTAGCATTACCAATAGATGCGTCCGTCAGTTCAAGCGTCGCTGTCGTGTGGAGTCCCCGGGCCTACTCATGAAGTAGTCAATGGATTCGTCCGCGAAATTAGTCAGCCGTCCTGAGTCGTGACAGTGTCTAGCACCCATTTTAACAATAATTTGAGCTGAAAAGGAATAAAAACAGTCCCAGTCTATCTCCAGGGAGCGCGGTGCTGAGAGCGCAATGTGGCGTCACGACAGTCACCATCAGCTCTGTCGCTGTGAGTACACTCTATTGGGAACGTCTGGTCATCAACGGCACGTGAGACGCGTCCAAATCCATCCGAGAGTTGCTCCGAAACGATCCAAAATAACGGCGCTGCGAGGCCCGGCTCAAATGTTGCCCGCCGCCCGCCCGACGCCACAAGAAATATGAAGACCCTGTACACAGGTCACGTAGCTATGGTACTTGAGGAAGAGCCGAAATAAAACGCAGGACAGACGTCTGGCGTCGTCCAAGAACCGGCGAACGTGACGCCAAACACAGAGTGGACGGTAAGGAGCCAACGAAAGACAAAAGAAATACAACAGCAGAGGAACGGAGAACAGGAATTGTCGGAAATTGCAGCATCAAAAGAGGAACACTAATGTGGGATTAGTGGCGCGACACGAGATAGCTACAGGGCGACACGTGAGACGGAGATAGTGGCACTGTATGCAGGTGTGAGGGGGGACACTGTCAGTTTGGGCGCAGTGGGGATGGGAGGGGGCGGGAAGAGGGGAGGGCGGTGTGTGCGTAGGGATAGCGAGTGAACGATGTTTACGAGGGACGGGCGCGGGAGACGGTGACGGGAGGGGGCTGACCAGTGTGAGCAGCGACGGCCATGGTGACGGACGTAGAGTGAAAATGGTCATCATTTGGTGTTCGTGCTTATAACTATTTATGGTGACAGTGATGGTGGGTTGGTGACAGCGCCCGATACCTGAGGTGTGGCCGTGACCTTATAGCACTAGCGGGCGCCATACTACAAGCGTGTAGCTGCGTGCACGCTGAGGTTTGCCGCATCACCGACTGCAGCGACATGACAGGTGGGTGCGACTGACGTCGGCAGTGGTTCCCCTCAGTATGATGTGCGTGTATGTCGGCCTGTTGTCGACGCGTCGGAGCCAAGGTACGGGGCAGTTCGAAGGCACACGAGAGGCCTGGTTTTGATGGAGATAGAGAGGGAATGGGAGAGAGAGAGAGAGAGAGAGAGAGAGAGAGAGAGAGAGAGAGAGAGAGAGAGAGAGAGAGAGAGAGAGAGAGAGAGAGAGAGTGGGGGCGAGGTTGGTAACCGGCGTGGTGCATGTGTGTGGGCGCTCGGGCCGAGCCGAGACTTCCGTCTATAGACAAAGAAATATTCACAGCTTGCCTGGTATGCTGCTGCGCTCAGGTTGAGAGGGAAGAGTGGCTTGCCTGGTATGCTGCTGCGCTCAGGTTGAGAGGGAAGAGTGGCTTGCCTGGTATGCTGCTGCGCTCAGGCTGAGAAGGAAGGGCGCCTGGCTCTTACCCGGTAGCCGTGTGGCCGAGGGACTCGTATCCGGGACTTGCCTGGTATGCTGCTGCGCTCAGGTTGAGAAGGAAGGGCGCCTGGCTCTGTTAAACGTTACCCACCAGCATCGTACCTTGGGTGAGTTGGGTCGGAGTGGTGGTGTGATGTAAACTCGCTCAGCAGTCCAATAAGGGCATGTCACGGGGCTGTCGCAGGTAACGATCAGCGGAGCGGCAGCGGCACCGCGTCCCACTCGCTAGCAGGCGGCCGGCTGTGTTGGGGAGGTGGCGCACAGCTGTGCGGCCCGGGGCGCCGGGAATTAGACCGGGGAAGTGTTTACACAGGCGCCGAGTGGGCACTCTGGCCACCAACACCCGGGTTCGGTTACACGAGGACGGCCGTTGCCGGGGAGGGGAGGGTGGGGAGACACGCACGCAGAGGTCGGATACCGGGGGGAGGGGGAGGGGGGAGGGCGAGATGGGGAGGGGTGCGGAGGGCGGGGCGCCGGGCGCATGTGAAATCAGGGCAGTGTGCGGCTAGCGGTGACAGTGCTCGCTGGGTGACAGTGACATTGGTCCAGCATGGGCAGTGAATGTCCGGGTTTTCCGCGTGGCGGTGGACACCCGTGCGAAGGCGACTACCAGTTACTTAACGTCACGCAGGCCCTGCTGCGCAACAGCATTGCACCGGGCACACGCAGGGCGTACCGGACGGGGCAGACGTGTTTCATTGAGTTTTGTGAGCGGTACGGCTTGAGTGTCGTGCCGGCGACGGAAGCCACCCTCACGTTTTTTGTGGGACATATGCGACTGATGGGTTTATCGTTGGCCAGCGCGCGACAGTATCTCGCCGCGGTCCGACGCCTGCACCTTCAATCTGGCTGGCCGATGGCCGATGCCCTGCCGCCTTACGTCACAGCGGCATTAAGGGGCTTTGAGCCGCGAGGCGCACAGCCGGCCGTGCGTGCGCGTCATGCGCTCACCGTGCAACATTTACGCCGGTTGAAAATACGGCTGGCGGCGACACTGGCGTCTCCATGGGACCAGCGATGCGTGTGGGCGGCGTGCACGCTGGGGTTTTATGGTGGCCTGCGCAGCAGTGAATACCTGGTCACCGGCCTGGGGCGTGGTGCGCGCCGGGAGGACGTGCTGTTTACCGCGACCGGGTGCCGTATCCGTGTCGCTATTCAGAAGAACCGGCAGCATGGTCCCGCGGTGTACATCGACTTGCCGGCCACCGACACATCTACTTGTCCGGTGAGAGCCTTGTGGTATTTTTGCCAGGCTCATGACGGGACAAGGTCGGCTAGCTCTGCTCTGTTCCGGCTGGAGTCGGGGGCGCCTCTCACACGGCGGCGGCTTAACAGTCTGCTTCGACAAGCCCTGGGACCTGGTTTCTCATCGCACTCACTGCGCATAGGCCTGGTTACCACCGCGGCGGCAGCGGGCGTCGGGGACGACGTGCTGCAGCGGCTCGGACGCTGGCGTAGCGGAGCCTATGAGGGCTACGTGCGGGGACAGCGGCACACTGTGACGGCGGCGCTACTGGCCGTCGCGAGGTGTTAATTGGCAAAATCGACCCGGCGAGCGGTGTAGGGCAAGTGACAAGTCCCAGGGACACGAGACGACGGTTCGCTGACGATTGTGCTCTTTGTTCACACAGACATTCGACCTCTCAGCGGGGCCAGCGACGAGCAAGCTCGCATCGACGCACGTCTACGCGCTGAGCTCGACGGCGTCCAGCCGGGAAGCGCGGCGCCGGTGCACCCACACGGACCGCCTGTGGCCGGCAACAACAGGGCACCGAGCAGCTGGGCCCCACCGGCAGCTGCTCTACAACAGACGGCTGGCAGCGCCTGGTGGCCCCACGACCCGGCGGGCTTGGGACCGCCGGGACCAGGGCCCGCCGCCGGGCAGTACGGGTCGGGCCACCACGTGGCGGCACTGCAGACCGGTAGCCAATGGGTCCCAGTCCCAGGAGGAGTTGGAGCCGACAGTAGCTACCAACCACCATTTGGCGCGCCACAGATGACGGCTGGCGCTCCACCGAGGCTCGTCAACCGGACTGGCGGGGCGGGTCAGGCACCACCGCACCAGACCACCCACGGGCCGGGCGGGCCACCGCCGGGCGACCGCGCGCCGGCTGGACACGCGCCGGCTGGACACGCGCCGGCTGGACGCGCGCCGGCTGGACACGCGGCGGCTGGGCACGCGCCGGTTGGACGCGCGCCGGACGGGCCCGAGCCGTGGCATCTCTCCGGAGGCATGGCGGCTCATGGCTGGGGCGAGCCGGTGGCGATGCCTGCGTTCGGCCAGAGACTCAGCCGGTTGGAGCAGGATCGCATGACCCCGACAGGCGGCGACAGGAGGCCTCCGGCGCCGACATCGGGTCACGGGCGGACCATCACCCACAACAGGCGGCGGCGGCGCCGATCCAGCAGCGGTGAGAGTACGCCGCGGCGAGGGCGCCGCCGGGACCGATCCTCCTCACTTGATTCGTCATCAGAGGAAGACGACGGGGTTGACAGGCGGCAGGAGCTTCGGGCGGCCCCGGTCCGTTCTCAGGTCGCTGCAGCACCCGCGGACCTGCGCCTGCCGTCCGTCACGGCTCGGGCGGAGCGGCGACTGCGCAACAGGCGGCGTTTCGTCGCGGTCGCCGACGCCGCAAACGCCGCGGAGGGGACTCCGGGCACCGTATTGGAGTACGTGAGCCGCGTGGCTGCCCTGCTGACACACACGACGTTCCACTTCCCGCAGTGTGGATTGCAGGTCACAAGCTACCTGGCCTGGCTTCTCAGCCGCTGTGTGGGGCGGAGCCTGCGGGAGGTGCAGGCGATGGATAGTCGGGCACTCCAAGCTATGGCGCGGCGGCCGGGCGACTATCTGACGGCGCTGGACCTGGACCAGTTTGTCACACCCGCGGCGGTCGGCGCTGGCCGACTCACGACGGGTGAGGGTGGCAGTCGCACGCAGCAGGACCAATTGTGCTTTCTGCACGCCCGACACAATGCCTGCTCCTGGCCCTGCAAGAACGGCCGCTATCACCTACCGTGCCGCTGGTGCCATTCATCAGAACATGCCACACAATTCCACGGACTGGCGGCGGCCGGTCGCGGCCGTGGGGCCCGGTGGGTCGGCGGAGTCGCAGCCGGCGGGGCGCGGTACAGTGGAGGCCCGGCGGCCCGGGGACTGGGACCCCGCTGAGCCGGCACGCAGTGATGCGAGACAAGCAGGTGCGGAGACGGGTCCGGCTGACACCGGCGTTCGTGTAAATAGACTCGAGTGTTTGCTCGCCGATTGTGACTCTATTAGCCTGGCGGACAAAGAGTTAGTGG